GTAGTTTGTGAGTTTAAGATGGTTTATATTTATTTCTTAACTAAGTCATTAAAACATGAGCAAATTATCTTCAAATATTCCAGAACTGCTCTGCCATTTATTCTGGCTTTGTCAACTGCAATTATTTATTTTTCAATGTTTTCAAACTATCTTATTTGAGCATAGATCAATTAAAACCAATAACCAAATTAATGCCATTGAAGTATAATTCTGTCCTTTCAGACAGAGTAGAACTGCCCCATAGTTTCCAAGGCTGCAAATCTTAATGGAAACACACTACCACATCCTTCTTGGGTTGAAGTCAAGAATCTAACCAATGAGCCACCATGGATCCAAAAAACAACTGCTGTTATTAAGTGCTGTTGAGTCAGTTTTGATTCATAGCGACACTATATAGGGTTTCTGAAGAGCAGCAGGTGGGTGAGAACCATCAACCTTGAGGCTTATCCTATAGCGCCACACCAGGACTCCAAAGAGTGATTGTTGTTGTTAAGTGCTGTCAAGACAGATCCAACTCATAGTGAACCTATATAGGGTTTCCAAGGAGCAGTTGAGGAAGGTCAAAATGTCATGCTTTGGCCTAGAAGGTATTTCCATGATGGTATGTATACATCTGGATTCCTGGTGTGGCGCTGCGGGTTAATGCGCTGGCCTACAAGGTTGGTTTGAACTGCAAGGTTGGAAGTTCAAGTTCACCAGCTGCTCCCTGAAAACTCTATAGAGGGTTGCCATGAGTCGGAACTGGCTCGACAGCACTGAACAACAATCGCTCTTTGGAGTCCTGGTACGGCACTGTAGGATAAGCACTATGATGGTCATCACTAAAATGTTGTTGCTAAGACCCGTCGAGTTGGTTCCAACTCATAGGGACCTGTATAGGATTTCCGAGGATTGGCTCGTCAGTTTGAACCACCAACCTCGCGTTTCATACCAATGTTCAGGAACCAACTTGATGGCACTTAACATTTTAGATATGAGTAGCATAGTGCTTATCCCACAGAGCCACATCAACACTAGATATTATCAGTCTCTCTGATTTTGCCTAACAGGAAGATATAATTTCTGTTGTAATTGTATTTAATTAATAACTAGACTAGTATGACTGACTCATATTACCTAGCTTCACTGTTTTGTGAAATGTCTGCTTTAGTTATTTTATCCCATAAGAGCACTTTATTCTGATATTATTTTACTATTATATACAGTATGTGAGAGCCAGAATTTGAAGGGACTGCCTTGTTTTACAAGTCTTGGAAGTTTTATGCTTTTCACACAGTGGTCATTACCTTTATTTCCATTTTCAATCTCTGACACACTCTTGCAATAAGCAGGTCCTGGCTTTTGCAGGTTTCACTGGATTTTCTTCCTACTTGTTGCTTCAGTTTTAATTTTGACTACATCTTTTGTCACTCAGAAGTGTTTAAATTTTGGTAGTCAAATATGTTGTCACTTTTGTTTATGGCTAAGTTTTTAATAATATACTTTTATAGCTATTTTTAACATATTTATAATAGAAAACATTCCATAAAGCCAAAGTAACTAAAAACAGGTAATGGAATAGAATTGCCCGGCCCAAGTGCTACATTTACTTTTTACTGTTGTTGTTTAACTGCTGTCAAGTCAGTTACGACTCATAGAAGCCTTGTATAGGGTTTCTGAGGAACAGCTGGTGAGCTTGAAATATTAAAGCTAGACTCCTAACTAACTCACAATGTACCTAAAAATAATGTCCAGAAGAGCTAATGAGCAGGGATATTAACTTATACCTGACACTTACACCGGTGTCCTTTCCCTTGAACTATATGGTGTCTAACATCACCATTGTAACTATGTAAGGTGTATCAGACCTGCTTATTTGTGAAGTGCAGGCCCTTATTCAGGGAAGATGTAATACCTACCTTGTTGGGGGAGTCCTAATGTGGTGCTGTAGGATAAGCATTGAATGCTAACTGCAAGGCTTGAGGTTCAAACCCACCAACAGCTCCTCAGAAACTCTACATAGCGTCGGTATAAGCTGGAACCAACTAAACAACAACCACCTTGTAAGGTAGAGTCCTGGTGTGGCACTGTAGGATAAGCATCGAACTGATAACCACGAGGTTTGCAACTCAAACCCACTCACTTACAGCTTTTCAGAAAGACTCCTATACAGAGCTGTAATAAGTTGGAACAGACTCAACAAACAATCACCTTGTCAGGTAGACTCCTGGTGTGGTGCTGTAGGATAAGCATCAGACCACAAACCACAAGACTACCAGCCACTCCTCAAAAACCCTTGAGGGTTGCTATGAGTTGGAACCAATTTAACAACACTTAACAAGTATCGTGTAAGGTGCCAAAATAAGTAATACCTATAAAGTACCTGGCACAGAAAATGTTGTCAAAGGGGAAAAAGTAATGATAAGAATGAGTACCTGTGGCTGCATACCACCATCCTTGATCTGACAGGTATACAGACACTTCTGGTCTGGGGACTTCATGCTGACATATACTCTAGTACTGCAGTAGCCCACAGGGTAGATGGCACATTCATCATGGAAGCCAGGTCGGTCGGTGATAATCTATAAAAGAGATTCCCCCAACCTGGAATCGAGGCCACTGAAGAAATAAGATCCAGTTTACTGTGGTAGCTTCTAGAACCACTTTGGGGCTACAAAGAGTGCCAGAGATAGATAGAGAGATTGAGAGAGTGACAAATACAGACAGAGAGAGACAAAGAAGAGAGTGACATGCACTCGCAAACACACAGAGAAAGAGATACAATGTGTGCTTGTGTGAGTGAGCATGGGTGGTATACAGCAGATAAAACTGACCTGTTTTTCTAGGAACTGATGATTTTCTGGGGTTGGTCTGCATCAGCAAGAGACTGCTGTTAACGGGCACAGGGAGGGAAGCCTCAACCCCAATCCCATATTTCTCTGATCCTCCTCTCTATATTATCGCTGGTCTCACTCACCTCCCCCAGGCTATATACTGTGAGACCCCCCAGTCCGATGGGGAACACAGGCCGTCCTGAGGGATCCAGGGCAATGGGCTGAACCAGCTTGCGAGCACCTCCCTCCATTTTCTTTTTCTTGGATGTTTTCTTCAGAACTGAAACGCAAATCTAGGGTCACCCACTTTAGGTCCCTCCCAGTGCTGAGGGAAAGGGAACAATTTACATGTGAATACTAAGCACATAAGCCAATCCTGGTTCTACACACTAATTGAATAGACATATAGAAGTTTCTCCAAAGCCCTGAGTATTTTTCTAACCCACCCACCTGATAGTAACCAATTTTAATACTCATACCTTTTGAGGTCTCTTTCTTCATTTTTAGGATAAAAAGTTTCCCAAGTCAGAAGTGTGCTCAAAAGGCCATAAAGCCCATTTCCCTGTCTGTAGGAAAGGCTGAATCTAAGGAACTCAGAGAGTTGGGGACATAGAATAGGGGAAGGCTCAGCCAGTTCCCTTTGCATTTAAATATTTAAATAGTTCTAGTGGAATTTCTCTACTTGAAGTAGTTCTAATATACTTGCTTCTCTTAGGCTATTAGGGGTTCTTCTGGAGCAGATGAGAGTTTAAGTGCATCCATGGTTGTATGTGTCTACTAGTTAGTACCAGGTGTTTGTCTTTAGTATCTGAGCCACTGGAACAAATAATCTCTCCTCAAGGTACCTTCCAGTTTGTTGTTCTCTTTGCCTTTTTCTTTTTTCTCTTTCTTAGATTTCTTCCCAAATGGTTCTTCAGCACCTGTGCTGGGTCCAGAAATGGGCCCAGCTCCCTGTATTGCTCCCATAGAGCTGGCCACACCATATGTCAGGGGCAAACTGGAGCTATGGGAAGGAGTTGCAGGCTGTGCTTCCTCTTCAGTTAGAGCCTGAACTTGGAGGAGCTTCTTTAGCAAGTACCTGAGGCCAGAAAGGAAAGGAAGCCGAAGTATAAACTTCTGTTTATCTAAATTCAGTATTTTACTCATATACTGGAAAAACCAGAACGACATACAGAGATTATAGTATACAGAAAAATAAGGTTCTTGTTGCTCATTGGGAATACTATTGACTTAAAAAGGTCAATGATAAGAACTGTAACTATTTCTATTGCATCTGTAGGCTTCCTTCAAAGAAACCATCGACCCTGCAGTTCAAACCAACTTTGCAGGCCACCGTATTAACCCACAGTGGCACACCAGGACTCCCTTCAGAAGGATATATAGCTTTAATTGTAAGTATATGTACCTACTGTGCTTGCATTCGGTGGTTAGTGGTGGTTTTGTGTACTGAGTCAATTCCAACTCACAATGACCCTGTATAGGGTTGCTGAGGCTGTGAATCTTTACGGGAGTGGAAAACCTTATCTTTCTCTCATGAGAGCAGATGGTAGATTAGAACCACTGACCATTCAGTATGCAGCCCAGCCTGTTATTTACTATGCTACTAGGGCTCCTTTGCATTAGGTAGTATATATGGGAAAAAATATTTAAAAAATAGTTTCTTTTTATTTTAAAGTAGTTTCTTTTATTTTCTGACTTTTGTAGTTGGAGTGTGGGAGAAAGATGAGGCTTTCTGCTTCCATAAAGATTTTAAAAGCTTTGGAAATCCTATACAGTGTCTGTATGAATCACAACTGACTCTACTGCAGTTAACAACAACATAACTGGAGAGATAAAAAGATTATTAGACAAGTGAGCTTTGTCAGAAAAATGAACAGAAGAGTCAACTCCTTCCCATGGTTCAACATAACCTTGTTAAGTATAACAAATATTTCAAAATTTCCAATACTTGATGAAGTGGTCAACCAGATGTACAACGTGTAGAAATCTCCCTGACGAAAAGCCCCTAGAGCAATAATACACTCTCTACCAATCATCAAAAATGTGATTCTGGAACAAAATGAAGCCAACTCACCTTCTTTCTTCTTTTGCTTTAAGAAATTTTTCTTCAAGACGAGCAATTTCATCACAAATAGCAGCATTTTCCTTTAAGAAGAAATATGAACTTTTAATCACATAAAATGAATAAAAGATCAAGTTATTATTCTGGAAAGAGGATTCATTATTTTGGACCAAAAAAGTCTGTGTTGCTAGGTAAGAAGGAAGAGTTAGTCCATTTTGAAGACAAATTATAAATACATCTTTAGCTAAAGGTGGGTAGAGTCATGTTCTACTATGGGTAAGATAACTAACAATTTATTTTCCAAACTTGGGTATCTCTGAGAATGAAAAGTGAACCAACTTATTGACTATTCAGAAAAATTAAGTGTAAACCAAGACTGTCTTGGGAAAATCAAGATAATGATCACCCTAATCCAGCTTGTGGCAGGGAAAAGGGCATATTTCTTAAATCCATACATGCTTAAATTCAATATTATAAGTACTATTCGCTATGGGTCGGAACCGATTCGACGGCACTTAACAACAACAACAATCCATTCCTAAGTCCCTTGACTTCAGGAGTGTACAAAGCCAACCTAATCTAAAGTAACCCATGCAATAAAAGTCAAAGAAAGAAAAATTAGACGGAAACATCATAATGTATATGTGTGGCACTGTAGGATACGGCAGTGGACAGTAAGGTAGGTTTGAACCACTCCTCCAAAACCCTATACAGGGTTGCTCTGAGTAGGAAACGACTCCATAGCACTTAACAGCATCATGGCATTCATCATCAAAAAGAATATGTCAAGATTTATCTTGAAGTACATTGCCGTCTGTGATAGGATCAAATCCACATGCTTACAAAGAAAACCAGTTTATATAACTATCTTTTTCAGTTGGGGTGGGGTACCCATTGAAGCCTGGCCATGTGGAAGGTCACCGAAAGCCTCTGGCATCTAAGGAGTGTAGTGGTTGCGAGTCTGGCTGCTAACCTCAAGATTAGCAATTTTAAACTACCAGCTGTTCCCATAGAATAAAGATAAGGCTTCCTGCTCCTGTAAAGATTTACAGCCTGTTAAACCCTACGCAGACTCGCTCGCTGTAAGGAGTCAGAACCGATTCCAGGGCACACCACCACCAAGCAAGGCTTAGAAAGCCCCCTGCAGAAAAGTCCGAATTGCGTGAGTACTCAGTGTGGGATAACAGTTTCCAGCAAAGTTCTGTAAGAGAGAAGGATCATACGTAACTTTGGGGAATCAAGAAATCAAATATAATTTAAATGTCCGAAATGTCCAAATATTTTGAATTTGTGCTTAACTGGTGTTGCTCTGTAAGATAACCATGGGACTGCTAACAAGATCCTCGGTTCAAACCCACCAGCCGCTCCTTGGAAACCCTATATATAGCGTCGCTGAGCCAAGGCATTTAATAACAATTTAGTATTTCTGGGAAGGAAAACGGCTTGGGAAAAGAGTTCGCGAGAAAGGAGTTTGGCGAAGGAGGGGTATTAAGGTACAGTCAGACTCACGAACACCGTGGCTTTGGCTGCCTTCCGCAACCGGAGGTATTTCAGCCGGTACTTCTCATTCTGGCTCTTCTTCGGAAGCTTTTTCATTTTGGTCTTGCTGGAGTACAGCGGTGTCCGCGGCGAGGGAGTGAGGCCGCTCAGTAAACTCATGATCCAGCCCCGCTACGGGGGGCTTCTGGGCGCAGTAGGCATCGGCTTCTACCCTGATGTGCTAACGAGAACACACTGGTTTCGTCTTTTTCGGTCCGCAGAATCCGGGCTCTGGGAGATTCCCAAAACCAACAGCAGAACCATAAAGCCTGTAACGGTACCCAATTGCGGGTTCTTGCAGAACTTCCGAATCCTTCCGGAAGTAGACCTGCCCGGAAATTACGTAATGGTGCAACCCTGTGGAAATTCCGCTGGTACCAAAACGTAGGCTAGAAAGGAGATAGGGGAGAACTGGAGGTGAAAACTGATCCAAGAAAGGAGAGGGAGATGGCGTCCTGGAAGGACATTCTGTGACTAGTGCATAAGTATGCAAGCTGAAGAGTGGTAAGGCCTAACAGACAAAAATCTTAAAAACCATTGTTATTAACACCTGTTTTTCACATTTGTACAGACATTTCCAGATTGTAGGACGCAATCGAATGCAAGGGTGTCTGTTACTGTTTTCCCCTTTCCTATCTTTATACAGCTCGCATAAATGTTGAGGCTTTTACGAATCGGGCTGCGAACCTTAAGGTCAGCGGTTCGAAACTACCAGCTGCTCCGCGGGAGAAAGATGAGGCTTTCTACTCCCGTAAGGATTTACACCCTCGGAAACCCTGTACAGGGGTCGCTATGGGTCGGAACCGACTCGACGGCACTTAACAACAACAACAAGGATTTACAACCTCGGAAACCCTGTACAGGGTCGCAATGAGTCGGAACCGACTCCACGGCACATATCAACAACAACTATGCTATGATTTTGCTAGGAGCTGGACCACAGTGATATAATTGGAAAACCGGTTCTTAATCACCTGCCGCCAGTATAGCCGGTACCCTGAGCTACAGTTCCGAGTAAAAAGCAAACCCTTTATAGTGTATCTATATACAAGGAGCTCTGGTAACGTAGTGGTTACGAATCGGGCTGCGAACCTTAAGGTCAGCGGTTCGAAACTACCTGCCGCTCCAAGGCAGAAAAATGATGCTTTCTACTCCTGTAAGGATTTACACCCTCGGAAACCCTGTACAGGGTCGCTATGGGTCGGAACCGACTCGATGGCACTTAACAACAACATATACAAGGAGTACAGGGAATCTTGAGCATAGGGTGGGAGTTTGAGGAATTTCAAAAACTTGTGTTGATTTATCTCAAGCCACGCTGACTCACCGTTCTGGACGTCTTTAACAGACACTTAATTTTTTAGTGGCCTTCATAAATTGTGTAGCTGTTTTTCCTCCCTTCCTTGGAGTGGAGATTGCTGTTGTAAAGTGCCGTGGAGCCGGTTTCCAGGATTTTAAATCTTTGCGGGAACAGGAAGTCTCATCTTTCTCCTTCAGGGACAGTGGTTAGAGCCCGCGGAAGAAAGATGAGGCTTTCTGTTCCCACAAAGATTTAAATGCCTCGAAACCCATTCCATATTAACTATAGGATAGACTTTTGATGTGGTGCTGTATGATCAGCACTGGATTGGAAACGACAAGGTCAGTAGTTCAAACCCACTATTTGCTCCTTGGAAACCCTGTACAGGGTCACTATGAGTCGTAACCAACTCAACGGCACTTAACAGGAGTCCTGGTATGGTGCTGTAGGATAAGCACTGGACTACAAGATCAGTTTGAACTGCAAGGATGGTGGTTCAAACCCACCAGTCACTCCTCAGAAACCGTATACTAGGTTGCTATGAGTCAGAATCCACACAATAGGCACTTAACAACATAGGGTAGTGATTGACTATGACAGATAATTAGGAAAGAAGTGACATTTTAACTATAGCTGTTATGACCGGATCACACTTTACTTTGGCCAAGTTAAAACTCTCCTGGTGCCTGGTTTCAGTGGTGAAGAGGAAAAAGGACTTCTGCTTCCTGGTTGATTAGAATCTAGCAAGCAAGACGGAAGATTTAATACGCAGTTGTAGTGAAATGCTAACACAAAGTAGACAGTAAATATTTGCCTTAGTGAAATCAAAACTGTATTTGACTCAATGCACTATCATCCAGTCAATTCTAACTTAAAGTGACCCAGTGTAGAGCTTCTAAGGATGTAAATATTTATGCAAGTCAAAAGCCGCATCTTTCTCCTCCAGTTTCTGTTGGATTTGAACTGCTGACCCAATGCATATCCTACAGCACTGCTATAGCCACATTTTATATGTTGTCATAGTTATTAAGTACCATAGAGTTGGTTCCGATGCATAGTGACCCTGCATAGGATTTCCAAGGAGTGGCTGATGAGTTTGAACCACTGGCCTTGCAGTTAGTTCAGTGACCTTGTGGTCCTGTACTTATGCTACAGTGCCACACCATAGATTTATAACTCAAGTTCATTAAAAAAAAAAAAAAAATCCCCATTTGTGGAAGATAAGCAAATATTTAGCATGTATATCGGTAAATGCGCTGGCTGAATGCCAGAAGGCTTGGATTCTTCTTCCAGCAATGTTACTAATTAGTTGAGTAATTCACAAGTATTATTTTCTATGAAAAATGAAGCTACTGCTTGCCTACTTTGTCATACAGATAGAATAATAATGGTGAAGGTAAATCACTGCTGGTATAGTTGTTAAAAGTGGCTAGCTCTCGATTGCTTACTTGAATGATTGTCGTTTGAACCCACCAGCCACTCCATTAGAAAAGCTGTTGCAATCTGCCTTTGTAAAGATTTGCAGCCTTGGAAACCTTACAGGGCAGTTCTATTCTGTCTGATAGGGTCATTATGAATTGGAATCTATTTGGCAATGGGTGGGGTTTTGTTATTGTTGTTTTGGGTAAAGTCCCCCATTACTGTTTACATTCAAAGTTTAGATTTTTTAGAGTTGTATTTGGAAATTTCAAAATATTTAAAAAAGTAAATTCATTAAGTAAGGGGTGGAAAATATTCCAAAATGTCTAAAATATGCTAATGTAAGTTGTGATCAGAATTTTTTAAAAGATAAGTTTAGAATGGATAATCCAGGTACTTTGTTTCTGAAAATGGTAAAAAGAGTGACAGAATTGACAAAATCATTTTGAGAGAGAGAGAGAAGACTTTTATATCCAGCAGTGTTGGAAGTTGCCCTTTGCAGAACCTCACTGGGATTGTTTTTTTTTCAATTGTGGTGAGCTACATGACTCCTGGTGGTGATATAGGATCAACAGTGGATTGCGAACCATAAGGTCGGCAGTTCAAACCCGCCAGCTGCTCCTCAGAAAGCCTTACAGAGTCGATATGAGTCAGAATCAACTACATGGCACTTAACAGCGTTTCTTCATCACCTTCACTGGCTTTTGTGGTTGGTGTGTAAATTTGAATAATAGTGGTATTAAATAGGCATCCTTGTTGTTAAGTGTCGTTGAGTCAGTTCTGACCCATAGCGACCCTGTACAGGGTTTCTGAGGGTGTAAATCTTTATGGGAGTAGAAAGCCTCATCTTTCTCCCGCGGAGCGGCTGGTAGTTTCGAACTGCTGACCTTAAGGTTCACAGCCCGATTCGTAACCATTACGCTACCAGAGCTCCTTAGGCATCCTTGTAAGCATATGGATATTATCCTATCACAGACAGCATTGTACTTCATGACAGATCCTGATATGTTCTTTTTGATGATAAATGCCACACCATTTCTCTTCAATTTGTCATTCCCAGCATAGTAAACCATGTGACTGTCAGATTCAAAATGGCCAATACCAGTCCATTTCAGCTCACTATGCCCAGGAAGGATATTGATGTTTTTGTGTTCCATTTCACTTTTGACAATTTCCAATTTTCCTAGACTTATACTTCATACAAGGAGCTCTGGTAGTGTAGTGGTTGGGAATTGGGCTGCTAATCTCACGGTCAGCAGTTCAAAACTGTCAGCTGTTTCACAGGAGAAAGATGAGGCTTTCTGCTTCTGTAAAGATTTATAGCCTCAGAAACCCTGTACAGGGTCACTATGAGTCAGAACCGACTCCATGGCATATAACAACAACAACATACTTCATACATTAAAGGGATTATTCATGTGCCCCATCAGCAAATGAAGGTACTGAGGACTTTACTCCATTTACATCATCATGGTTAACTCTACTTTGAGGAGACAGCTCTTCTCAAGTCACATTTTGAGTGCCTTCCAACCTGAAGGGTTCATTTTCCAGTACTGTATCTGACAGTGTTCCACTGCTACTCATAGGGTTTTCAGTGACTAAATATTCGGAAATAGTCTGTTTCTCCTCCTTCTTTGTCTTCGTCTGGAAGCTCATCTGAAACCTGCCCACCATGGGTGACCTTGCTGGTATTTAAAATACCCGTAGCATAGCTTTCTAGAATCACAGCAACACACAAACCACCACAGTACAACACACTGACAGATGAATGGTGGAAATACAACAAACAATAATATGCAATAAAACTTGGGCCTCTCTGGGTTTTCATAGAGCAACTTCTCATGGTGCCAGTGTGCTTTTATAAACACACTCAAGGCAATCCTCCAGATTTATTTTTTAAATATAGCAGAAATGTTTTCCTCCCACAAAATACCCACACTCATGTCTTTGTTAATATAGACTAACACTTTGCTTTGAACTATAAACTAGAGTTGGTAGAAGAGATTTTGGTTTTTTTTTCTTAAAAAAGAAAAAAGACTTATTTACTGATTACGTTTTTATTTGATATCCAGCTATATTTTGCCATAACAATTTGGACCTTATTTACATTATTTCTTCTTTCTATACAGGTATCATATCTTGTGGGAAGGTGCAGTGTAACGGGTTTCTCTGTGTGGGGGGGCTTTGAAAAATTCCATTACCTTTTAATTCTATTTGTAGGAATTTGACAGTTGACTATGCAAATAAGGTGTGTACATCCTTGGGGGTGCCAGTTGATCAGTCAGTTTCTAAGCAAATTAGGCAACTCTGGCCTACCAAAGGGATTGGTCAGTTTGGGATCTTAGTAGGAGGTGTAAGCTTATGAATGATACAATCCCATAGTGCTGGAGACAGCCTGAGA